CACGGAAACGCCGTTTACCTTCCCGCCGGAGCGGTACCTATTTATCTACTTGCACTTTGATGTGCTTTCGAACTGCTAGGTTGGCAGGAGCAGGGACCGAGCAACGGGAGCTCACCCCGTCGCGGGGATTCGAACCGCCAACCTTCTGATCGGCAAGTCCTAGGCTCTGTGGTTTAACCCACAGCGCTACCTCCGTCCCTAGTTTATGGACCTCGTAGGTATCTAAAGCCATTTGCACATAACAAAATATGCATGTGCGTCTTACCCATAGAGGCTAGTGGCGCTGAGGTTCCACCACCCCTTTCCTAAAAGCTGCCTATATGCCCTTTTCTTGCACAAGAAAAGCTTTTCCTGCCACAGGGAAGGGCAGAACAGAAGTTGATGTAAGCTTATATTTGATTATCCAAGGCCAACGGTCCTAAGTTTGTTTCTTTAGCTTCCTTGCCACACCCTGGGGTTTCAATAAACCATTCAGCTGCAGTCCTGTACACATTTCCTTACAGAGGAAGTGCCTTCCACCAGGCTCCATCAAGCCCAGCAGTGCCTACTCGGGCTGTCAGCAACAATCCTATCACCTGCCACTTTAGACTTTTCACGAGAGATGCCAGGAATTGAACCCAGAACCTTCCCTATACAAAGCACATGCTCTCCCACTAAGCTACAGCTTTTTCGAAAGAAGTGCAATGCAATTTGAGTGTAAAGGTCAGTAGACGCAGACTTCTAGGGTTACCACCACTTTCTGAAAGAAATGCTATGCTATTTTTTTTAAAAAAAAGGATAGTAAAGGCAGCACAGCCTTCCCCATTATATCACCTCTATTCTGGGGGGAGGGGGGACACGCTCCACCTGCTGAATTCTTGGCTGTCATGTAAGGGGGGCGGGAATCACACACCCAGCAAACTTAATGGCTTCTCAATGCTCTACACAAAGTGGGAGGGGGGCAAGTACTTCCTCCTTACAGACAAACCAATGGTTTTATGATAGCTTCCATAAACATGACTGAGCAGACCATCAGCCGCACAGACTACCTTGTAAAAAAGGTAAAGGTACCCCTGCCCGTATGGGCCAGTCTTGACAGACTCTGGGGTTGTGCGCCCATCTCACTCAAGAGGCCGGGGGCCAGCGCTGTCCGGAGACACTTCCGGGTCACGTGGCCAGCGTGACAAGCTGCATCTGGCGAGCCAGCACAGCACACGGAACGCCATTTACCTTCCCGCTGGTAAGCGGTCCCTATTTATCTTCTTGCACCCGGGGGTGCTTTCGAACTGCTAGGTTGGCAGGCGCTGGGACCGAGCAGCGGGAGCGCACCCCGCCGCGGGGATTCGAACCGCCGACCTTTCGATCGGCAAGCCCTAGGCGCTGAAGCTTTTACCCACAGTGCCACCTGCATCCCATTTAGGCTACCTTGTAGCAATTCCTAAAAAGAATACAGTGGTACCTCGGGTTAAGTACTTAATTTGTTCTGGAGGTCCGTTCTTAACCTGAAACTGTTCTTAACCTGAAGCACCGCTTTAGCTAATGGGCCCTCTTGCTGCTGCTGCCGCCGCGCCGCCAGGGCACAATTTCTGTTCTCATCCTGAAGCAAAGTTCTTAACCCGAGGTACTACTTCTGGGTTAGCGGAGTCTGTAACCTGAAGCGTATGTAACCCGAGGTACCACTGTATTTCTGTATTTATTCATACAGTGGGAGCTCCATTTGCGCACGTGATCCGTTCCAGAGCTCCAGTCGGATCCTGAGGAATTTGCAACTTGAGGTGCCTGTTCTGCGCATGCGCGCGGTGCGGTAGAGCGCTTCTGCGCATGCACGAGGGGCGAAAGCCGGAAAAATACTTCCGGATTTGCCGCGTTCGCATCCTGAAAGATACACAACCAGAGGTGTGCATATCTAGAGTATGATATCTACTGTATCTACATGAGACCAGTAAGCACTTTGCAAGTCTAAAAACCAATCTTGTTGTTGGCATCGGTCGGTCTCGAAAGACAACAGAGCGCTGCTCCAGGGGCGAAGTCGAACAGCTGTGTGGGGAACACCAAACTGACCTCCCCGGGACGCAAGCCTGGGCAGTGTGTGGAGGTCCTGGGCTGCCCAGACAACAAGACCCCCTTCTCAGCCTCGCTGACGTGGTCCAAAGGAAAACAGAGCAATATGTTTGGTACCAGCTTGGCTGAAGGAGTTGCTGGAAGAAGAAGAAGGAGGAGGAGGAGAAGAAGAAGAAGAGGAGTTTAGATTTGACATCCCGCTTTATCACTACCCGAAGGAGTCTCAAAGCGGCTAACATTCTCCTTTCCTTTCCTCGCCCACAGCAAACACTCTGTGAGGTGAGTGGGGCTGAGAGACTTCAGAGAAGTGTGACTAGCCCAAGGTCACCCAGCAGCTGCATGTGGAGGAGCAGGGAAGCGAACCCGGTTCCCCAGATTACGAGACTACCGCTCTTAACCGCTACACCACACTGGCGAACAAGGCACCAACCAACTGTCTTAGGGACTCCACTATGGGTTTGTGTAGGGTTGACTCTGCAGCCTTTTTCTTTTCCCAAATACAGTGGTACCTCGGCTTACAGACACTTCAGGTTACATACGCTTCAGGTTACAGATTCCGCTAACCCAGAAATAGTACCTCGGGTTGAGAACTTTGCTTCAGGATGAGAACAGAAATCATGCTACGGCGGCGCGGCGGCAGCAGGAGGCCCCCTGAAGTGGTGCTTCAGGTTAAGAACGGACCTCTGGAACGAATTAAGTACTTAACCCGGGTTACCAATGTATATCCCTCAAGGCACAAGGGTTTAGGGCCAGAGTTTTTCTTCTCCTAGATGGGCTCAGTGGCGAAGGTGCATGCTCCGCTACTCGGGGTGGAAAGCAGGTGGGGGTGTGACTGGCGCCCCCGGGGTGTGGCGCACGCCCTGAGGGCGTGGCATGCCACCCATGGGGGTGTAGCACACATTCTGGGTGCGTGGAGCACTGCCTGTGGGGGTGTGGAACCCAGCGCACGCGGGGCTCCACAGCACATGTTTGCGGGGGGGGCAGCCAAGATGGCACCCTACCGTGGTGCCGGGGGCGGTCTGCTCCCTCCACACCCCCGTTCCTCCGCCAATTGATGGGCTACCTTCCCAGGTTGACAAGTTCTTTCTGCCCTTCCCTTCCCTCTACAGCATGTGCAGAAACCGCCTTCTTGACCGTTGGACCCACTGGTCTGTTCAATCTGCCGGAGCCTGTCTTTGCATGCAGGGGAAGTCCCTAACTCACCAAGGGTTTGAGACCCATTGGCTATCCTTACCTGGTTTAGCCTGCCAATCAAAGCCATTTCTGGGGTTGTGGCCGCTGTCGCATGCTCACAGCTTCTAGCAGCCACAGGTGGGAGCTGAGTGTAGGGTGAGGACCAAAGGTGGACAAACTACCCCAGAAGGAGCATGATGCGTCCCCTTCCCCGAACACCCTATACACGCCCCAAATCAACCACACAAGCAAATGTAAGTCTAGCAGCGGTACTCTATCACTAGCAGCCAGCTGTAGATTAAAAAGGTAAAGGTACCCCTGCCCGTACGGGCCAGTCTTGACAGACTCAAGGGTTGTGCGCCCATCTCACTCAAGAGGCCGGGGGCCAGCGCTGTCCGCAGACACTTCCGGGTCACGTGGCCAGCGTGACATCGCTGCTCTGGCGAGCCAGAGCCGCACACGGAAACGCTGTTTACCTTCCCGCTAGTAAGCGGTCCCTATTTATCTACTTGCACCCAGGGGTGCTTTCGAACTGCTAGGTTGGCAGGCGCTGGGACCGAGCAACGGGAGCGCACCCCGCCGCGGGGATTCGAACCGCCGACCTTTCGATCGGCAAGCCCTAGGTGCTGAGGCTTTTACCCACAGCGCCTGCAATACTGTTCATGGACGAAAGCTCTGTAGTTGTGATATCCAAAAGGAACCTCAAAGGCTGTATACCTCCCGGTACCTGTTTTTTTAGAGACAGGTACAAGGCCCATGGGGACGTGGGTGGTGCTGTGGTCTAAACCACTGAGCCTAGGGCTTGCCGACTGGAAGGTCAGCGGTTTGAATCCCCGCAACGGGGTGAGCTCCCGTTGCTTGGTCCCTGCTCCTACCAACCTAGCAGTTCGTCAAAGTGCAAAGTAGATAAATAGGTACCACTCCGGCGAGAAGGTAAACGGCGTTTCCGTTCACCGCTCTGGTTTCGCCAGAAGCGGCTTAGTCATGCTGGCCACATGACCCAGAAAAACTGTCTGTGGACAAACGTTGGCTCCCTCAGCCAGTAAAGTGAGATGAGCACCGCAACTCCAGAGCTGTTCGCAACTGGACTTAACTGTCAGGGGTCCTTTACCTTTACCTTTACAAGGGTCATGCTCATCACACCCTGCTAGCAAACTTCCCAGAAACCTCTGGTGGAAATAGACTAGATGGACTTTGGTTTGACCAGGCAAGTCTGTTTTACCGGCAATTCCAATACAGTGGTACCTCGGGTTACATATGCTTCAGGTTACATACGCTTCAGATTACAGACTCCGTTAACCCAGAAATAGTGCTTCAGGTTAAGAACTTTGCTTCAGGATGAGAACAGAAATTGTGCTCCGGCGGCGCGGCAGCAGCAGGAGGCCCCATTAGCTAAAGTGGTGCTTCAGATTATGAACAGTTTCAGGTTAAGAACGGACCTCCGGAATAAATTAAGTACTTAACTCAAGGTACCACTGTACCAATACCAATACCAATACCAATACCAATACCAATACTAATAATAGATTTCAAATGATGTGAAACTTCAGGTAAAATGTGGCCTCTTAGAAGTCACAACCCTTTCCAGTCACCCAGGAAAGAAAGCTTCTCCTAACATGATGGAGCCTCGTCATGTCAAATACACACATCCCCAAAATAAAACAAAAATTAAAGGAACCCCCCCCAATACATGAGAAGTATTGCTCTCATTAACTATTAACCAACAAAATCACATAAAATTGAATATGATTTTTTTTATGCTCTGTCAACGCCGCCTAGTAGCTTACTGGGCTGCAGCCAAATCTCCACATGCTCAGAAACACTCTCTTCTGTTCCATTTGTCAGGAAGGAAGCCAGTCATTCTGGGGGTGGGGACCCTGTTGTGGCTGAACTCCCATCATCCCTGACCAGTGGCCCTGCTGCCTGGGCTTGATGGGATCCCAGTTCCCCCCACCTCTGACCCCAAGCCGAAAATCCTCTTGCCCTGCTGCTCCTCATTGCCCTCCAAACCCCTCAAACTCCCCCGGTGGAGTTTTGCTGGCGGGAAAAAAAGATCTGGCGACGGGCGGTGCTTCACCGGTTGAATTTCCACCTGGCGCAGCTGTTAAAAGCGCAGAGGGGGAAAAAGGAATGCGGAAGGAAGGAAGGAAGGAAAGAAAGAAAGAAGGAAAGAAAGAAAGAAAGAAGGAAAGAAGGAAAGAAAGAAAGAAAGAAAGAAAGAAAGAAAGAAAGAAAGAAAGAAAGAAAGAAGCAGGCAACTTCAACCCTGATCCCCCCAGGAAAGAAAACTCACCGGCCAGAGAGAGAGAAACCGACCTCCCAGTTCTGCTCTCCCTAATTTCAGAGCTGATGGCCGATGGCTGCGCAGCCTCCGCCCGCCTGTTGCGCAAGAGCTGCTCTTTCGCCTATCAGAAGGAAGAGCCCGGAGGGGCCGGGCGGAGGCCGGGGCTGAAGGCAAACAAACGCCGCTCCCTCTCCGGATCACACTTGCGCCCCGGCAAGATGTTTCCCTGCGCAATAAATTCTGGGCGCTCCAGAAACGCCGGTGCGCTTAGGTGATTTTAGACTCTGGACTGCATGGAGTTATCTGTAAACACACGCACCCTCTTTTATTGGCTGGCAATAAGTTGCACCCAACTCAGTTTTACTCAAGAGTAGGCCCATTGGAATTAACACAGTTCGCGTAGGATCGTGGAGTTGGCAACCCGGTGCAAAGCAGGAATCACAGGTAAAGAAGAAGACCGGAAGAATAAGAAATCAAGATAACTCTCTCTATATATATTTCCATATATATATGGAAATGGTTTGTTGAATGTTTACAGATAAATTCTAAGCAGATGAAAACATTGGCAGGATTATTGTAATAACCTGCAGTTTTCTAAGAGTATATATTTACAGAAGATGAATAACTGAGCAAACTAAGTTAATTTGGATATGCCAAAGATATTAAAAATAAATTTTAAGGAACCGCAGAAAGAGGGGGAAGGAAGTCAAGTTTTGAAATGCCAAAATGAAGGTAAAATCCATGAAATGTGCAGAATTAGTGAAATGTATAAAATTGAAAAGTATAAAATAAATAGATAAATAAATAGTATTTTGTAATGATTTGCTTGATTTAGGGGGGCAGCTGCCCTCCCTGCCCTCCCCCCCCCCCGGCTACGCCCATGGGAGGCAGCAGTTAGGAGTTAGAAGTTAGAAGTTACCAGTCTCTGCAACCACAGCAGGCACTGTGATTCTCCAGTGAGTTAACTTCATCCCTGGAGGTGCACTCCAATTTTATTTCTGAGTCAAGCTAGTGGCTTTTGCCCACAAGAGAATGCAGCCTTGCTGCACCCCGAGCAGGACTTTTGAGCTCTCCAATTTCAGTGGCAAAGGTAAAAAAAAAAAAGGTAAAAGGACCCCTGGACAGTTAAGTCCAGTCAAAGGCAACTATTGAACCTGGGACCTTATTCCTGTAGGAATGTAATGGATAATAAAGGTACCCCTGACCGTTAGGTCCAGTCGTGGACGACTCTGGGGTTGTGCGCTCATCTCGCTTTCAGGCCAAGGGAGCCGGCGTTTGTCCACAGACAGCTTTCTGGGTCATGTGGCCAGCAGGACTAAACTGCTTCTGGTGGAACGGAACACTGTGACGGAAACCAGAGAGCACGGAAACGCAGTTTACCTTCCCGCTGCAGCGATACCTATTTATCTACTTGCACCAGTGTGCTTTCAAATGGATAGGTTGGCAGGAACTGGGACAGAGCAACAGGAGCTCACCACCGTCGAGCGGATTCGAACCGTCAAAATTCTGATCGGCAAGCCCAAGAGGCTCGGTGGTTTAGACCACCCTATGCGAAGCTAAAATTTGGAGCCCCCCACCTCTCATGCTCTGTTCTGCAGCATTGTTTTGGCGTCCCCTGCAGTGTGGCACCCAGTGCGCTGCCCTGAACTGTCTCTAGTGGCACTGACACAGCAGAATCACTCTCAAACGCAGGATTCATGATCTTCCACACTTCCGTAGGTGCCTTGCAGTGCAGAAGCTTGTTGTCATTATTTGCATGCTCAGGGCTTCTTGATCTTTTAAGCTCAGGGGTACCAGCGCTAAATTAATCCGTAAACTCAACATGTTTGTCTGGCCAACCTGCTCAAGGCTCACATAGTGTTAGGCAGTGATAACATATCAGTCTTGCTACAGCAGCATCTCCCTGGGCATCTGTGTACCAAGAATATTCCCATGCCTGCAGCTCCTGCCATTTGCAGGTGGGGGGGGGATGTTCTTTCTGAAACCCTGGCAGGCTGCTGCCAGTCAGTGTGGACAGTACTGAGATAAGTCTAAACCACTGAGCCTGCGATTACTCTAGCACAAGTTCATGCAAGTTTCCTTTCAGAATGTTTGAAAATGCATCATTTCACAAGTCTGATGAAAGTTCGCTTGTTCGCTCTTACAGAAAAAAAAGATGGAACACACTCTCATAATAATAAACAATTTTTTTAAAAAAAGTTAAAGACAAAGAAATTTGATATACTGGAGTTGATTGAATTGTTTCTTTATTTTGTTCATATTGTGTCTTTATTTCCCCCCCATTTTATTGGAATTAATTAAGCTATATATATATATATATCTGCAATCTAATTTCATTTACATTTGATTACAAATAAGGTGTTTTAACAGGAGATACTCTGTCCCAAAACAAAAACAATAAAACCCTCCTGGACTTTAGAATTTTATATATATATATATCTTTTAGAAATAAGTGGAAACCACAGCATCTATCAGGTATTTTCCCCCACTGAGAAGTACGCAATTAAATTAATTATTAAAGTATGCTTTTTATTATCTGCAACCAAGTCAGGTAACCCACTTTGGCCCCGAAGATTGTTTGAAATCCAATCGGCCTTAGTTACAGCAGAGTCATTTTTTGCTCTTTCCATAATTTGAGTAGTTGAGGGCATAGAAACATGGACATAAAAAATATATATGTGAAACTGAAGTGATGCAATAAGGACTCAACACAGGCAGTTTTCCACTAGCTTTCTAGCAGTTTAGCTGTCATCCTATTCTTTTGCCATATCTAGAAGATGTCATTGAACATGCATATTGAACAATTCTAAAACCACTTGCTATGGAGCACCACTATGAAAGCTGGAACCAATGGTTATCATCTACAAGAACTTTCAAGGGGCTCCATAGGTATGTCTCTAATCCTTTCTAACCCTCTCCCTCACCCTTAACCAACCCTCCATTACCCTAACCCAGGCACCCCCAACCTTCGGCCCTCCAGATGTTTTGGGACTACAACTCCCATGATTCCTAGCTAGCAGGGCCAGTGTTCAGGGATGATGGGAATTGTAGTCCAAAACATCTGGAGGGCCAAAGGTTGGGGATGCCTGCCCTAACCCTCCAACCCTCTAAACATGGGAGTTTAAATATGGAAAGGATGGGGAACTTTTGGCCTTTGAGATGCTGCTAGACTTGAACTCCCACTATCCCTGTTGTTTGTGTTGTGCTGATTAGGGCTTATGGGAATTGTAGTATTACCACATCTGGAAGGGCCCTGTATCACCCACATTTTTCGATTTCAGCAGGAACCTGCAGCGTATGCAGAGCCAAGAGTTTTGCCACGTAAACTTCACTACTGCCCCCAGTGAAATCAGTGTTATGCAAGAGCACTCATTTGCTGTGGGTTTTTACAGACACACTTTAATTCTGACATGATCGGAAGACGACATAATTGAATCAAAAAGCCTCATAATTGAATCTAAAAGCAGTGCCTATTGTTCTCCGAGTTGAAATAAAACGGACAAGGTTGTCATGCGGCTTCTCATTCCTAGTCGGTCTACAGCTGCCATGCTTATTTTGTACACGGCAACAGGAAAGGGAGAATCAACGAGCCAAGAATTGTAAACCAGACTTAAAGATTAAGCCTATAGTTAATGAGGTAGAGGTCAGCTATCAACAAAACATTCGTACGTGGGGCAAGGATGCACCAACCTAAGACCATCTAAGATGCTGTTAAAGAATGCAAGTTTCTATTTGTGGGAAGTAAGAAAAAGGCTGACGCAGCAACGTTAAGCTGTATAGCGTTAATCGAAAAGGCATCTTGAGCTGCTGGTAAGCTCCCTGTTCCTGCTTTAGGAAACAGCAACCGGGAAACGCTAATACTGAACTAATAAGACTTCTTGGCAAGGAAGAACATCAGGTTCATGAGGTGTGTACATGGGCCTCCCCACCAAGTCCAGAGAATAGTGTAATTAGTTCGACAAGCCAATACATGTTCGGCTTTCATGTTCTTTTCGCGGGTTTGGCCGTTAACTGTTTCTCTCTTTCGAGCTCTTTTTCCCGTTGCTGCTCTCGTTCCAGTTCTTCTTTCTGCCTCTTTTGCTGGAGTTTGAGAGCTCTTCGCTGAAACGAAAAGCCAGAAAAAGAATGTGACTTTCCTGAAGCTGTAGAATTAGATTTGACATGACAGCAGCAATGATATCCCTGTTGTTATTTCTCCTGAGGTTTTTCAGAAAACTCCACCCACCCAAAAAAACGCCCACCATGTGGGATTTGCAACATAATGTCACAGTGGATCCGACCTAAGAGAAGTGCTCCTGTTCAGGATTTTAGCCAGCCATTCGCTCTAAGCGTAGTATCCTGTCCTCTTCCCCACTCACACATTTTTCCCACTTGCTTTTCCAATTGACACTCAATACTGGATTCCATGGCTATTCAGTGTGCCCAGACAACATCAGGCTTTTTTTAGGGGTGTGTGGAATGCTCTCTAAGTTGCTATTTAGTCCTTCCGCAACCTCACAGTTCCCTCCCAAAGAGGCCGATGACAATACAGTCATACCTTGGAAGTCGAACAGAATCTGTTCCGGAAGTCTATTTGACTTCCAAAACGTTTGGAAACCAAAGCAGGGCTTCTGATTGGCTGCAGGAACCTCCTGCAGCCAATCGGAAGCCATGCCGGACATTCGGCTTCCAAAAATCATTTGAAAACCGGAACACTCACTTCCGGGTTTTGATCGGGAGCCGATTTGTTCAGGAGCCAAAGCATTTGTTCGAGATCCAAGGTACGACTGTACCTTCTTTTTATT